AAAATTCATTCAAAGAGTTGAGTGATAATACAAGAAAGTGTTCTTGAAAAATTTCCTTATAAATATATATTCTATACTTCTTGATAAACCGAGTAGTTTCTACTAGCGAAGGAACTATTGTCAAAACCGGACTTCAAAAGATGGATACGATTAGAGGGAAGACATTTGGATTCCTAAAGTGAGTAACCAGAAGAAGTGATCGTTACCAGACCGGGAATTGATTTCCTCATACATCGTCGGTTTTGAAGGAGTTCAAGAATAAAGGTAATTTTTATAAATTACATATCAAATCAAAATTAGTAAAAGTTACTAGATTTTAAATGATGCTTATTCGTTATATCGTTACACTTATGTACGGAATAAGTATTTATAAGATAAATACTTATAAAATTTTAAATTCCGCTGTAAACTATGTTCCGTACGGTATATCGAACCCAACAAAATCACCACTGGATTTTGCTACTTTGCCACCCTCCATTACAACATGGTTTACAACCATGTGTAGTGGAGGCATTAAAAAATGCAATAATGCACATTTCAATGCCTCCATTACACATGGTTGTAAACTATGTTGTAATGGAGGGTGGCTATGTAGCATCACCCATCACCACTTTTAAAAAAGAAAAAAACGATAAATTGTATAACAATAAACACATAATTACACCCGACTCACTAGCCGGAGAACAGAGGCCTACCGACGGAATGAAGGTAACCTAGAGGACACAATTACAACACACAGACAGCAAAAGAAAAAACACACCCCCTAATAGGAGAATACCCAATCCCCAATGTGATAATACACAGTCCCCAATGGCACGTTCTCAAGCGGGAGAAGAAAAATACAAACGCACAATAACATCGTAAAATAAAAAATAAATAAATAAAATAAAATGAACTAAAAATCAAGAACGACCCTCCCACCAGGTGCAATTACATCTTTTGATTGAAATAGCCACTTACTAATCAGATTAGTTGAGGGAATAATTACTCCCACACCAACCAACTTTTTTTTTATTTTTTATTTAATTTCACACACATTTCCACACTGATGAAGGAACCATCAGTAATCTTTTAAAACAGATAGGGCAATCCAAACTAATACCATTAACAAACCTCTCCATTAGAACAATAAATTAAGATGCAACTGTATATCCTATATAGTCCTTAGTACATCCACAGCTTATTCAACAACTGCGC